GATCTGGCGATACATTTTCACGACGTTGGTGCCGAAAACAAACTGCTGCCGACGTAGCCAGATGAGAATGTCGGAGCTGTTGATTTGCAGTTTAGGTCCCGGATGGACGATGTCATTCAATGACACTCCCGTTGAGCTTCGATGCGAGACGTCGAACACCACTCTCAATTTTGTGGTCGTGCTGTCTGGTTTAAGCACTGCGTGATGAGGCAAATAATGGTGACACGCCAAAATTCCCTCATCAAAATTCTCCGCCCCATATTTCCCTGGTCGAAATTCCCCCCGTCATTTTTCTTCCCGACATAATTCCTTCATGTTAATATTCCTTGCGCCAATTGTTCTAACTCAATAATTCCTGCTGATAAAATTCCCCGTATGGCGTATTTATGCGGTTTTTTTGAAATTATATATTTGGTTTGTAAAGATCTTTATTCAAATTTTAATAACAGGCAACATGAATTTTATGAAATTGATGAAATTGATTATAATTTGTATGATTCGTAGTTTGTTGCTTGTGGAGGATGTAGCCGTTCAACACTAAATCATGATTACCGCTTTGATTGAGTACAAAATGTAATGGCATTTTGAAGCATAATGAACTCAGCGACGTGTGATTGGTAACTGATGGATCGTGGGATTGATATTTCCGTGTCCTCACTATACCTGTTCTGTATTTATTTTTATAATATGACACACCTGTTGCGTGCTTATTGTAATTCTAACGCCCAATCCGTCTACTGTACACAGCCTTTTTCAATTGATTTTGTGTTTATTTTCGTTTTGTCATTGAGATCATTTGTTCGAGATAGTTCTGTTGCGGGGGATTTTCTCGCGGGGAATTTTGACACGGGGGTATTTTGAGGGGGGAATATTGATCGGGGGAATTTGGACGCGGGGGAATTTTGATCGGGAAATTTTGTATGTAACCTGAATTTCTTGTAGCGTGTATGAGTATCCGGATCGGATGACTGTCGCCTGATAAGCTTCTGCAACCGTCTCTTGGCCGATGATGCTGTATCCCTCAAGGCCCCTGGCGATGATTTAAACGAGAGACGCACAATGTAGCGTCCCATCGAATCTCATCGATGAGTCTCGATAAAGTGTTGTTCACACTCCGCTTCAGCCTTCTTCAGGACTAATGATGATGATATATCCGGTAGTTCCTGCTGAGTCCAAAATTTCTTCAGGAGTTTCAAGAGTTGTTGGTTTGCCGTCTGTTTCATTACTTTCAATGATGAATTCGGAGCACAACCAGTGCCGCAGACGGACCCCGAAATAGTCCAGTCGACGTTGGTTTGCTGGGCTATCAAATTCGTCTCCTTGAACCTGATAATTCTCTCTCCGATGGTTCTCCCGTAGACATTAGCTCCGATGATGATGTCGATGGTCCCAGGTTTTAAGAAGTAAGAATCTGCCAGTTGAAGTTCTCGTAGTTGATGAACAGTCGTTGATTCGCAAATGAATGGCGTTATGTTCGTCGTCAGTTTGCTCAGGACGTGAGCGTTAATGTTGAATTGAGTGGCGGGTTCGTGCCGCGGTTGTAAAGCGAGATTCACTACAGCACGCGTGCTCCCCGATGAGGTTTCTCCGATCCCGACGATGAAAATTGATGATGACCTCCGCTCCAGATGAAGTGGATTGACCAAGCGCTCAGAGACTAGTGTTATCTCTGAGCCCTGGTCGAAGAGGATCCGTGTTGGCCTTGAATTTCCGTGACGATTGAGAGCGAAGACCGTCGCCGTCGGCAAGATTACCAGTTGAGTTGCATTCTGATGAGGTCAATGAACTTTCAAAACGTTGATGTTGTCCACCGGATTCACCTGGTACAGTTTTGATTGTCGATTGACCTGGTACTCCTCTGATTGACAATGATCTCCAATGTACATGGGTTATAAATGAGGTTGATGTCCCACCTGGTACTTTTCTGATTATCCAGGATCTCCAATCGGATTGTGCGAGGTCGATGACCTCTTCCTCTCGATGAGTGTCCGTGCAGATGATTTAAATTTTGATGCTGCGTCTTGGCGCGATGATGGACCGGATGACTTCTTGACAGTTTCCTGGTTAATTGATGTCTATTCCTTGATGATGTTCCGGTTATTGCCTGTCAACAAACAGCAGTTGAGTTCCCTTCAAAATATTGTAATAATAATTTAGTACTCAACGGCTTGTGTTGGGGTTTAATGACGTTGAGGCTCCTGATGAGTCCACCGTTGGCTGTCGTGCTGTAACGGGGGCGTTGTGGATGAGCGTGTGATGCGTTCCCTGACACGTCTTGCACCTTCGATTATTCTTGCACTTGTGCGCTCGGTGGAGGCCCATGCAGTTGTAGCATAGGCCGTTGCTCTCCAGGAAGTGCTTCCTTTCATGCGGCCTCCAGGAGGTGAACTTCGGGAATTCACCCCCGTTCCAATGAGACCTGCCGCAGGAAATGCAATTCCTCTTGGCTGATAGAGGCTGCGTTGATTTGCTGTATGGGGTTGCTAATGATTTCCCGGATGATTTCCCTGATGACACCTGGTGCACCTTCACCGTCGGCTTCGGCTTGAGTACTGGCTTCGTTGGGGCTCCGTTGTGGTCCTCCGTTGTGGTGTGAAACTCCAGAAAGGCCTTCAGCTCCGGAGGTTGTGTTGAGTCCCCGAGTTTCACCTCCCAGGCCTCCCTGGTGTCTGCATCGATAATTCTCCTCATGATGTGGACCACGATGATGTCCGAGTGTTCGGTGGGAGCCCCCAGGGACTTCAACGCCTCCAGGGCTTTCGTTGTGTTGTTGATGATGGCCAATAACCCTGCCACTGACTTCTCCTTGAGCGGCTCCATGTTGAGGATCTGATTCAGATGAAATGCTATTATGAGCCTCGGATTCTCGTAACATGCGATGAGCTCCCTTCAGGCGATGGAATCAACTCCGATATTTTTGATGAGAGCCTCTGCCTGGTCCTTCAGAGTGCCCTTCAGCCTCGCCATCTTCTCCTCTTCCGCCATCTTCGGGTTCTCGTGAACGAGCCAGAGGAAGATGTTGTAGAATGCCTTCCATGTGGAGTACTTCCCAGAGAACTCTGGGATGTCAATTCTCCGAAGGGTACTCGATGATGATGTTCCTGATGCTATCTCGTCCATTTCTTTGGCTCGAACTTGAGCCATGATCTGCCCAAGCTCTTTTACCGCCTTTGAGTAGGTGTTGAGAACCTGCTGGAAGGCATCCTCCGTAAAATAGGGATGCTCGAGGAAGTCTTCCATGATACCCTCGATCAGTGCCTTGTGGTACGATGAGAAATTCGTCCATTGGGTTTCCACGATGCGTTGGTATGCCTCAATGTCATCTGCGGTCAGGCTAGCGATTTTCTGTGTTGAGTTCCCCGATGATGTTCTCCGGATTCTTTAACCGATTCAGTTGTAGCCTGACCTTCAGCTTAAAACTGCTCGGCCACGGGGTAACTCTGTTCTTTAATTGTTGAGGCTCCTCTGAATGGATGACTCTGTCTACCATTTTCATTGATTAAATGAATTCCTTTTATGAATTCCTTGGTTGTCTCTACCTCCTCTACTACGTCAGCCCAGTATGATGTTGATCCACTTGTAACGACAGGCATGAGTTTGTCTTACCGGTCGTCGAGTTACCGACCGTAGGATTACCGACTGCCGCGCTACGTTCCACCGATAAGTTGCCGCTCCCGAATATGTTGAGTGACCGCGGGGGGAAGAGGCGCAGCGCTCCCGCTACGGCTGCGAATGGATGGATATGGAGGACTCCGAGGATTGCCGAAGTGTTTCGGGGAATGGCGATTTGTCGACCTTTGAGTCTCCGGGATGACGTCACGTCGTTCCTCGTGTTGAGTGTCCCCTGTTGCCGATGTAAACAAAGGCAATGGAATTTATTGCCTTTATAAATCCGTTGAATAGAGGTCCGACCTCTATGTGGTTTCCCTTGATACAGTTTTTTGAACCCCGAAAAGCCTTGCTAATCACGGCGTCGGTTTTTCACCCACGTTGATTTTCCTTGCACTGTCTGTGTTCACCATAATTGTCCACTACACTATCACTCCACTATCCAGCTCGCAGAACCAATGTTAAAAATCTTGTGGGATTTTGATGATAGGGAGGTCGGAAGGGAAAGTGAAGTGGGATGGATTGCCGGAGAATCAATTAAGAGTTTCGTTGATTGTCACTGTATTTAAAAGCTTAGTGCACTGAAATATATACTCGATGGATTGCTAATAAATAATTAATTTACCAAAGTAGACTGTACAAACACGGAATATTCAGATAATAGACCCGATAATTTACGATGAATTTCCCGATAAATGCGCCGATGTGCGCCCGGATAAGTTTCAGTGATTCGGTCCTGACGAGAGTCGATGGTGTACTGACCACCGTGGAACAGGCTCACGACTACGTGCGTGCTCGTCGATGGTCGAGAACTTCCGTAAGGAACAAGAAAATGAGTTGGCCCAAAAAGCAGGCCAGATTTTGAACAGATCGATCCCAGATGTAATATTAGAATAACCACTAGTATAAAGGAGATCCCATGTGAAACAAGACAGTTGAAAATGTCTTCAGGGAAAGGTGCTACAGCAATATATATCAGATGAAAGTTGCAGGATATGGAGGGGAAACCTAGTGCACATGGAATTTATGCTCCTATTCTTTGTGTTTTCATGCTGCAAGCATGAAATCCGTTTTTTCGAATGGCAACATTATTTTTCACCCCTTTACAGTTGTGCATCTACAGTTTTTATCTGACATATTTTGCGTTATTACCGCTCCATGGAAAAGTTTTCAACAGTCCTGTTTCAAATGAAGCACCCTGTGTAGTACCAAAGAGCTGATGCAAAATTCCCTCAACCGATTCAGAAATAATAAAATGATACAGCCCTCCCTTCACCAACATCAATCATTGAATGACCTTGATTGGCGATATTTTTTGAAAGCGATATCCCCGTTTATCGAATTATGAGAAATGAATGAATAAATTTTAGAATTATTGGTCGAGCAGAAGATCCATTCAGGAAGGAGAGATGTGTTCTGCAAGACAATCCTGTTGCTTCCAATACGAAACACCACAAATATCGAGCAAAGCTGGAGTCGTTATTACGAGTTCAAGGCAGAGTCACCGCAGGTTGGTAGATCCCTTATTACCTTCAATTTTTTGACCATATACCCATGCCTATTTGATTCACAAACGACATAGACGATAACTAATCCGAAGCTACTGTAGCTATATATAAATCATTTGAATACATTTAATGCCAGCCAAACAGTGCCACTATCGTTCAAAGAATAACTTGAAGAATAACATGTTTCATTTTATGCTTAGATGTATCATAAATTTTTCAATCACATTGGTGAAGCTCAGTTACAAAGTTCTTTGGTGATTCAAAAATATTTTTGTTATATATTACTCTGTTCAAAGTGCATAATTTTCCATTGAATGCTCAGTGTCAATCGAGTTTTATTTGCATTCGCCTTGTTCTAATCAACAAACATTAATTTCCTTCTGTCGTATTCTTTTTGCAATACTCTCTTAATATTGTTGGTGCTTATTGAGATTCTCTAGCCTAAAAACACAAAAACAAATGTTTTTGTAAAAAAAACTGGGCCAAGAAAAAGTTTTGTTTGATTCCTACTGGGAAATCGAAGTTTTTGAAAAATACATAGAAATAAAAATGGAAGCCAAGTTAGGAATTTTGAATAAATGGTGCACATTCAGGTTTCTATAAGAAAAATAGTTCTCAATGGAATAAGTATTCTAAAAAAATTCTCTATGAAATAAAAAATCAGTAGGAACAGGACCAATGTCCTTGGCGCGGATCAAAGGATGGAGGAATAGATTGATACAGACAGTGAATTGAAAAACTCCGCGCCAAGAACGTTGGTCCTGCACCTACTGATTTTTTATTTCATGGAGAATTTTTTTAGAATACTTATTCCATTGAGAACTATTTTTCTTATAGAAACCTGAATGTGCACCATTTATTCAAAATTCCTAACTTGGCTTCCTTTTTTATTTCTATGTATTTTTCAAAAACTTCGATTTCCCAGTAGGAATCAAACAAAACTTTTTCTTGGCCCAGTTTTTTTTACAAAAACATTTGTTTTTGTGTTTTTAGGCAGATTTAATTATTTTTTTCAAAATAAGCAAGGACTCTTTTTACATCCGGTGAAATTTGTTCTTTTCAATTCAATTCAACTGATTCATTTTTCATAAAATAGAACATTTTTTGAATCAACAATTGAAGGGAAATAAACAGTTCTACTCCAGATTTATTCTCTCCACCGAACAATTTTCTGACTTGATTTGGTTCCTCATTCAATTTTTCCTCTGATGATTCCTATATGGTTTGTATTTCGTGGAGAGATGAACTGATTTCCATATAGGAATAGTCGAACAAAATGTTCACAAAGAATTCTTTTTGAAAACATCTGTTTTTGTTTTTCTTTGTTTTTAAAATTATTAGGGAAACATTGGGTGGAATGGACTCTTCTGACTTCTTATTTCAATATTTATAACCAAGGAACAAATTTATCGATTGAGCTCAGTCTAAGCTTATTACAAAGGGGCTGACTGTACTTTAATTTTAAAAAAAATCTATTTCATCAGGACTTCACTAAAACATCAACATATTCGAAAGGGTTCAAAGTGTCCATTGAATCCCACCGTCTCCTACTAATTTTTCCTAAACAATCACAAAATTTTTCGCATTTCACTGTCACTTACTTTAGTGAATTTTTTTCCACGGAATGAAAACATTTTCTGTTACACTCGTAGAAACATAAATATTTTCTTTTCGAATTTAACTATTCACGGACATTTAATACTTGATCACACAATATTTTCGACACATCTCCCTTCTGTCACATTCCAAACATAGACCGATAACCTCACAAATAATGCATAAACTACCTTTTCATCACGCTGTGCGGAAAAGTGACGTTTCAGGCACGCTCCGCATGCCTAAAAGTCCCTTTCCCACGCATTGTGATGAAAAAAATCGTTCGATACTCGTGGGAAAAGTGTTTTCCGGCTCGTGGGATTACATCACTCGCCTTCGGCTCGTGCTATAAACCCCCCACGAGCCAAAAAACACTTTTCCGCACTTGTATCAAAATATACTATTATGTCCGAGGTCCGCATATGAATATAGATATGGCGGGATGAAATTCGAATTTTCGACGAGAGAAAGCAATATAGAACACCGAGTCGATTTTCCGTTTCATTCTAATAAGTGATTTAACGTGAAGAAGAACATTTTCTGTGGTTCTCCATAACAACATCACAACCCACATTCAAATGCACTGGTGGCAACACTTCAACGTTGGATATGAAGCTCAGTTGGACCGGCGCTGCCAACGTTACAACTTGATTCTCACACTTTATAATGTGAATCGCGAGAATGTGAATATCAACTCGTTGTTATGCGCCTATCTTTTTTACTGTTAATCCAAAAAATACCATAGTTACACCGTTGAAAAGCTCATAGGCGATTTATATAATGTAACTAATGACACTTTCCCGATTTGTCGTCCCGTTTTCATTATATCGAATGTAAATCATTTAGCGGTAGTGGAGGGGGAAGTTCTGTCGTGTATAGATACGCGGTGCTCTCGGCCTGATATTTTGCTCAGTCGGTCAAAACTTTTCTTGGCCGATACGCTACCGCGTATCTCGATTGGAAGCGGCGACAAGAGATGGGTCATCATAATTATTTTCCGAAAATTGATCATAAGAGCGGTAGAATCAATGATCGTGATTCTTGTAAACCAAATTGTATTTCATGTGTTATTTTGCGACATTCATAGCATTGGACGAGATCAAATTTGGTAAGTAGTGGTTGCTCACAAAATCTGAAAGAAAATTGCGCGGTGTCACATGAGTGATTCGGCAACTGCTGTATCACTGCAATAATTATATCACTCATAAAATTAAAATTATTTTTAAAAAAATTAGGAATTGACTCAGAATAGCATTTTACATGAAAAATTGGTATGATTCAAAATCAATCACTCTGCTTGATGGCTGGCTAGATGATCACTCCCTAGTCCAGATTATAAGGACAGAATAAAATACATTAGAGTATGCTTGAGTTGTTAGCGGAACCAAATAGTAGGAACGATTAAATAATACATAGGTTTAGTTGGCATTGTATCATTGGGAATACCTACATCCATGAAAATATGGATACCAGAGAAATTCTATGATTGATCTACGTTTACTCGTAAACGAAGAGTCTTTTCTTTTATTTATAAACGAAAAAAGGCACAGTTCGCCAATCGTTGGACGTCACGTCTCCGACAAGAAATATAGGTCGATACAAGTGCGATGGAGATTTTTCACCTGGTATGATTGGCAGCCCTCAGCTTCGCCTCAGTCCTCCAACTTCACACTCATGAAAAATCTGTGCGTACTTGCATCGAAATATACTATTTTTTCATATCGCAAATGAAGCGATAAAATAAACTGAGTCAAGTTCGGAAGTTGCAATACTTTTTATAAATATTGGTATGAGAGATGAATCTGTCAAAGAATCACATTTCTTATCATTGATATTGAAGTCAAAATCACCGGAAAAAAATAGCGAAAGTAATGAAAAATATAGATTTCTTTTGATTCTGGATTTAGATATCTTATGGGAACGCTCGCTACCGCATATAACGCCAGAACACGGTTGCTCTCTCTCGCTCACTCTGACAGTGATTGGTTGAATTTTCGGGTTTGTTTGTGTTTTAAAAACTCTCGAATACTAATTTTGTATTGGATCGTGAATAGTCATTTTATTCTTTACTCTATTCATGACCAAGACAGCGGTACAAATACAAAATTTTCAATTTTGCAATTTGCTTACATCTTTATACAGTTGATACTGTACTTTATAACTTGATACAGTTTATATTTTTCCGTATTCGGGAAGGACTTGACTACTACACGAGAAAATAAACGTATATTATAGACTGTCAAGAGAAAAATTTGGAATTAAAATTCTACAACTTCATTATAATTCAGAAGTGTTTTCTTGTGTGAATTTAGGAGCAGCACTTCGACTGCAGCAACAGCCTTCGCCATAGCAACGTCGGGTTCTAGCAACCCCCCTGACAAAGCAGTTGGTTATTACGATGGAAATCATCGAAGTGGTTCCTGTCGAGATCGCAGCAAACGCAAAGAAACCGTCTCAACTGCAGCTACAATGCGAGTGTTGAATGTGCTGAGGCACTGGGTCTCCAAACATTCTCAGGATTTCGAATTTAATCATCAATTGAAGAATTTAACTATTGAGTTTTTAGACGATATCGTTGGTAGTCCAAATCTATTACCAGCCGAACATAAAGCTGCAAGTCAATTACTGAGACTCATTAGCAAAGAAGAACCGGAGAATAGTGAAATTGACTTACAGAAACTTCTAGCACCACCATCAGTAAGTATTGTACTGTATATCAATGGGTTTTCACAGCATATTGTGCTAGAATTTTGACAGATTTGCAGATGAACCTGCCTTCACACTGGGTAGGTAAGAAATTCTTGCGAAATTTTTGTAATGACTGTCTCTTCTATCGAATAGAATTGTTCGAAAATATTCTAGGCTAATGTGAAAAATTCAGTTATCGGACGCTGAAAGTTAAGGTTGAGAGAAAAATTGAATCATACTTTCGGCATAAATCATTTGTGTGAACGATCAAAGTTGTTAATGTCATTCATGTATGTTTTACGTGGTTAACACGTCCGCTAAGTTACATTTTTTTTTTAAATCAAAGTTTTCTATGGTACGGGAGCAATTCTACGTAAAATCAGAAATGAAAAAGTTTCATGTTTCCGATTGTGTTTGCGATGCTTTTCCAAGAAAGAGTATATACAGGGTGTCCCATAGTATGTGACAAAAGTAAATTGCGAATAACTTGAATACGGTTAAGTGTAAGTAATTGTTATTTTTTTTATTGTACACAGAACATTCGGCAAATTATAATACAATCCCTTCCAAGTGTCCGCCATCACATGTACTACAGAACTCTATCCTACGCTCGAAGCTGGTATAGATGCGCTGTATTATGTTTTCATCAATAGCTCAGACAGCATTCCTAATTGCGTCTTGCAACTCTTCCACAGTCGTCGGATGCTTTTCATAGCACTTGTCCTTGAGAAAACCCCACAGGCAAAAATCACAGGGATTTAAGTCAGGACTGTAAGGCGGCCATTCCATGCCCCCATGGGCACACTCAGGGTAACCTAAACCTAACACACGAGTGCCGTAAACGGAAAAAAGTGTTTCAAATACTCCAGTAGTCCTGTGTGAGGCGGCACCATCTTGCATGAAGTAGAAATTCTTGACTAATTGATTTTTTCGTGCCCAAGGAAAGAAGTTCTTTTTCAAGAACTCACAGTAAATGTGAGCATTAAATGTCCGACTCTCGAGGAATTCAAGGAAAACACCCTTTATGGTAACTGCCGCCCATGCAGTAACTTTTTTCGGGGGTGAGGACTTGGTTTCAACGACCTGAGGTGACTCAGTCCCCCAAAAGCGAAAATTTGGTTTATTTACCAAGCCACCTAAGTAGAAATGTGCTTCGTCAGAGAAGATGATATTCTGTGCCTTCATCCCCTTGGATTCAAAAAGATTGTAAAGTTCTTGGCAAAATTCCACACGACGAACCATCGCTTCTTCAGTTAAAAATTGATGTACAGAAATTTTGTAGGAATGGAAGTTTAAAAACACTTTTAAGTATGGTAAAGTGAAGTTCTCGAGACTTTCAAGGTTAGGGAAGCCTTCCAAAGAGTATCATTTGGATATTTTTTGAAGTGGTCTTCAGTTGTGCGGATAACCTCATCTATGGTTACAGTAGGTGAAGAGCCAGGATTCTCATGCCTCCTATCGTCTTGTGTACCGTATTGACCAAATTTCTCAATTAATCTGAAAATACCCATGAATTGGTCGAAAAATGCGTAAATCTTCAAAAAATAAAAAAGAAAAAAAAATTTTGGTTATCTAGTTCATTCACTTTATTTACCGTCTGAGACTCGAATCAGACACTCGAGTGTGTGTGCCATACTTAGAATGGAATGCTCTTATTGCTGCAGTAGCTGAATCTCCTCTTCGATAATATGATTTGATGAGGAATGTTTTTTGTTCAATAGTTAGGTTTTTCATTTTAGTATTCTAATTCGCGAGCGACTGAAGTATGGATGAAATTTGCGGAGAGTCCCCACTTCAACCATATATTAGACTTTAGCCTGCGCTGTCACCTTGCGGTATACAACGCAATTTACTTTTGTCACATACTATGGGACACCCGTAACTCCACGCTATCATGATATGTTTTGAGTAATTCGCTTTTTTTTCAACGAGTTATGATTTTTCAAAAAATTTCACTTTTTTCACTTGAATTTTGACTGTTTGAGAAGAAGGTGGAATAGTTGAATTTAATTATGAGGAATTGAATTTTCATTTATACAGAATTGCAGGTAATCGAGCAAGCTTTAAAATGGGCGTAATTAAACACAATTCATTCCGTTTTGGACTCGTTATCGGGCGATCAATTTTTTTTTAAATCTGCAATTACTCGAAGGCTCTATCGTCCTTATGGTGAAATTTTGGGGATAATTCGGTGGCATAATTCTCAATACTTTCACCGAAAGAAATTAATTTTTTTGCAACTGTTCCCTGTTAAGATAATTATTTTTCATCTCTTCGAAAGAAATGATGGGAAAATTCTTAAATTGAATCATTTCTTATTACTGCTCACTCTTTGTGATGACTATCATGAAGACCAGAACTAAGATTTAAAAAATGGGAGTAAAGTGGACGGATATCGTTGAACGAGAGTACAGAATAAACTAGCTTTGGAAGAAAAGCTTCCAATTCATGAAAAAACATAATTATTATGAAAAAAAATTCTAATGCGATGTCCTCATGGCTAACCAATACTTTCATAATTCCAAAATGATTAGAAAATTAGATCCCTCGTAAATTCATAGATTAGTGAATGAGTCTGGATTCTTAAGTGATTCCTCCCTCACTCAGGTAACATTCAGATGGATAATTATATTAGGTGTATAAGTTAATTTTTCCCTTTTTTTTAAATCAAAAATTATATCACATTATAAAATATATAAATAGTAAATCAATCTTCGAAATATCGTCCATCGTTTTCGATGACCTTGCGCCATCGATCGGACAACGTACGAATGCCACCCAAAAAAAAATTGTAGGCTTTGAAGCAATAAAGCCATCGACGAATTTTCAGACATCATCCAGCGTTTGGAAGCAGCTTTCCTCCAATGTGTGCTGCATGGACCGGAACAGATGGTAATCGGAAGGGGCCAAGTCCGGCGAATAAGCCGCATGTGCGACAACCTCCCAGCCCAAGCTTGAAATGGTTTTCTGATTCGCGCGAGCAAAATGAGGTCGAGCGTTATCATCAAGCAGCATGACTTTCCGGCTCCCTTGCCCAGTGAATGGCCTCTTCTCGTCAAGTACCTCGCTCAATTTGTTGGATTGTCGACTGTAGCCCTTTGCAGTAACTATCTGACCTTTTTTGAAAGTTCGTAATAGAGTATATCCTTCATATCCCACCAGATGCAGAGGGCAACCTTTTTCAAGTGAATTTTTTGTTGGAAAGTGGATGTCGATGGTTATCCGGGATTCACCCATGACTTTTTGCGTTAGGGATTAGCAAAACATATCCATTTTTCATCTCCCGTCATAATTTTTGACAAAACATTTTTCTTTTGCCACTTGGCGAGCACCGAAAGGCAAGTGTTCATGCGTTAACCGAGGTTATGTTCGGTCAGTTCATGTGGAACCCATCTTCCTACCTTTCGTATTTCTCCCATTGCGTGTAATCTTTTAGAGACTGCTGCTTGAGTAACTCCTAGATCAGCTACAAGCTCTTTTTCGGTTTGCATTGAGTCTTTGTTGAGTAATTTTTGCAATTCAGCATCTTCAAATTTCAGAAGCTGTCCATGACATTCCCGGTCACTAAGATCGAAATCACTATTTTTAAAGGGTCTATACCAATATTTACACATACCATACGACATAATATGACTTTCGAGAGTAGAACAAATCGAATCGAGGGCTTCATGGCTTTTTTTCCTTGTCGGAACTCCTAGAGAATACAGTGCCGAATGTGCTGCGTATGCATCGTCATCGTACATATTACTGTTTTGTGAAGTTATGCAGCTCTTCCCAACATGACATATACCGTATTAAAAACTGTAAGGTACACTCTTCAAAGTCGCAAACGGGCGCGTAAATATTGAAATTTGAAATAAGAAACCGCACTCATTGAAAAAAAGGGAAAGATTAATTTATACACCTCATATGTTCCAAAGTGGAAGATGGCTTGAAATCAATCACTTTTTCAACTATTACTAGTCGAAAATTAGCTTTCCGCCATGGCGTAGATGCAAAGTCAGAGTTCCCTCCCGCGGAGCGGGCCATTACTTACATACAGTACATACATTACATTGTAATTTAATATTAGAATAAATTGAGTTGAATTGCGTTCATTTTGAAGCTTTTCAATTACCTTCACATATGTGGAAAAGAAAATGCAATTCTTAATGATTTAATTCAATTGCTTCACCTTTTTGCTAAACAATCAAAATTCCAGTGAAAAAAGGTTTTTTTTCGAAAAATCATAACTAGCTGGAAAAGAATCGAATCACTCTTAAAATTTTATAATTGCTTGGTCTCATGTACTTGGTCTTATTTAAAATTGCCAAGAAAATAAAAAATATGACTTTTTTTTCATTTCAGATTTGACGTCGAATTGCGCATATAATATTGCTAATTTAACTATGAATGGTAAAGAATGATAAATAGCTAACCAAAAACCGCTTAACGTCACTATCGTTGCTCATGAGGGTCATATGTAGTGAGACTCAAACGTCATCAAGATCAAATTTTTCGAGGAGGAAACGTCACAATGCTAATAATTGCCAAGAGTTGCCAACGACAGGATAATCTCAAAGTTTAATTGGCGAGGAACACTAGGTAGGTGTCCGCCTCCGATTATTATGAAGTTTATATATGTTACAGAGGAATAAAAACTAAGAGATACGTATTTTTTTTATCGGCGCGTTTTCGGTTTTAGAGGATGAAACCGCCCTCTAAAGTTGACAACCTCTGAGAGTGATTTTCCAATTGGACAGATAAGCAGAGTGTTTGGACGAATGTTCAATAGTATAAAAGGAAGCTCACGAGGAATGATGGAAATGAGGATCGAAACCATTCCCGGGGGGTAAAATTTAGGCGGTGAACTGCCCCTATGAAGATTTTTTTTCTGATTAAAAAAAAACTACTCTTCAAAATTTAATGGAATTTTTTTAATTTGAAAGAACATACGAAAATACGAAATACGTTTTTCCAACGTTTTCCTTTTTTTGAAATCGCGACGCAAAAAATCAATTTTCTGTAATTTGGGTATTTTGATTTATTTTTTGCTGTATAAAATAAAGCTTATGGAAAATTGAAGGGTTATTTAGGATTGAAATAGCGATTAAACACAGTTTTATTATCGTAAAAGTAATTAAGCTTTATTCAGCAACGTAATGCGACAACGGTCGAGGCACAAGTGATGCATAGTACGAGTATATCTACGAGAGGCGCAACGGCGCCGTGGCAACACAGTCAGCCACACTGTCGGTAATAAGGAGACTGGCGTAGGGCGCCACTTTCAACACTCCCTCCCGCCATAGACAGTATCCTTTATTCCTCTCCAGTGTTCTTCTCTCCGAATAATCTGTTCTCGTTTATCACAAAGTTTCTTATTTGGTAACTTTATCTCGCCTCAGTATTCTCGCCAGGTAATTTCGTCAGTTTAATCTCATTAGTTTTTCCATCTCGCCAATTTTATCTCTCCAAGAAAGGTCTCGCCAATTTTATCTCTCCAAGAAGGTCTCACCAAATTAGTTATTTCCTAGACAAACAGAAAGAAAATAATTTAAATATTTACTTTCATTAGGTCCATCAAACGCTTGTGTGTTTCAAACGTCAATGGTTTGGTGAAAACATCAGCTAGCTACTCCCTTGAGCCAATCCAAATGATTTTTATATAATTCTTTTTAATACACTCCTTTACATAATGTAATTTGTTCTCTACAATGTGTCTCAATTTCATTCCTTCATCTGTTTCTGCACTTACAATAGCAGATTTATTATCACACCTTAAGATCATTGGAACAGGGGGATCAAGCAGTATCAGTTTCAAAGAGTTGTGCAACGACATCATTTCTCGACTCGCCTCGCTCATTGCAACATACTCAGCTTCGCACGTAGAAAGTGCTACTGTAGTTTGTTCGTTCGCCGTTTGTGAGTTCGCCAAATAATCGAAACACCAAACAGTCTAATCACAAATCCACAAGTTGTGATTGAATCTTTACAATCAGAAAAATTCACATCAGAATAACCCTGAATGTCATTGGTCTCATCTGAATATCTCACACCCAAGCCCGTAGTACCTCTCAGATACCGAAAAATTCTTTTTACCATTTCCCAATCACTTTCTTTAGGATTTACTTGATGTCTGCTTATCACATTGACTGCATGTGCAATGTCTGGTCTCGTAGCACCAGTCAAATACAAAGACTACCTACGGCCTCTCTATAAGGAATGTTCGCTTTTGTTTCTGTCCTTTCCAAAGTCCCATTATCATATTCTATTTCTCTTCATTTTCTCTCATTATTAGCTACTTGAGAAGTATTCATTGGTATACATTGTGGATGTGCTTTATTAAAGCCAAACCTACTTAATATCTTTTGAATGTATTTTTCCTGATTTAATTTAATAACCTGATTTTCTCTATCTCGTGTAATAGTCACGCTTAGGAATTCCTTGGGTTCTCCCAGGACTGTCATTTCAAATTCGCTACATAAATTACTCTTTACTTCAGCCAATTTATCGTTATCATTACTCGCCAATAACATATCATCTACATAAAGTAGCAGAAGCAAGAACTTGTCTTCATCTCGCCAAGTGAATAAACAAGGTTCTAAATCCGAGTTCTGCAGACCCATACTCAAAGCTACTTCAGTGAATGTTACATTCCACCGTTTGGGACTGATACGAAGACCATAAAGTGCTTTCTCCAATTAGCACACATTTTCTTGCCTATCTTTGTTAGTATGATTAGTTCCTTCTGGAATTTCCATGTAAATTTCCTTNTTCATCGAACGCGTTTACAAGGAGCTGCTCACAGAAGAGGCGAAAAGCCTCACAATCTCCAATCTCCAGGGTAAACTCGAGATGCTGGAGACCTACTGGGAAAAATTCGAGAGCACTCATGAGAAGCTCATCGCTGGCAGCGGCAAGATCGAAGGAATCCTTGAATTGCCGTACTTCAAGGACCATCGGTTCGACATTACTATCGGACATTAGGCAAGGTTCGGCTTACAATACAGTCCACTTGCTCTCACTTTCAGCTCAGAGTTTCTGCCCATGCTCTCGGCTAGCTCACAACCTCATTACCGACATTCTTNTTCTGGAATTTCCATGTAAATTTCCTTATCTATTACACCATTGAGGAAAGCAGTTTTAACATCTAGCTGACACACCTCTAGATTACATTTGTTTATAATTCATATAACTATTCTCACTAAAGGTAAACGAGCTACTAGAGAATAAGTTTCCCTCAATTCATAAATGTTCTTATCCTTGAAACCTCTGATTACTAGTCTCGCTTTGAATCTTATTTTTCTATTTGCCTCATTTTTACACTTAAAAACCCATTTTGAATCAATGACATTTAATCTTTTTCCATTCATCATACTTAGAGGTCTTTTGATAATTTTCCATACTTGATTTCTTTCTAACGAGTTTAATTCTTCATCAACCGCATTTAACCGATAATCTTTATTTTTACTATTTATTGCTTCTCGATAAATTGAGGGATCTTCATTTATGCTTGATAAAAGTGCATGATACACTTCATCTTCCTTTTGTGCTAAATCTATCTCGCCTTCATTACCGATAACACTAGTGAAGAAAACATTTCCTTTCACGTTCTCTTCAATTTCCAACTCTGAAAAGCTATTATCATTTATTGTTTCATCTTTTATATCAACTGTCTTCGTTTTCTTGGTAATGGTTTGTTCTGAAACTTCTTTCTTTGGTCTACTTCTTTTGCGTTTTATCTCTCGCTCCGGTTTTGAAGAATCCTCGGTCTCACCTCGATTCTTTTCGAATTCAACAAACCAGTCATCTCTATTCTCCATTTCTCCATAGTCTGGGAAATCTTTGTTGGAAATCCTGTCAGCTGACAGGTCCCTCACACTAACGCACGCAAGGCTCATCCATTCTCTCCCCACTCACGCACACCTGACGCGCTCACCTCAGATGACTGGGGGTTATTAATTCCAGCACCTGAGGCGCCACTTCCTGGACCGCTCTAAATTACCATATGATCTATATTAAATTAGGTCAGGTGACCATCGAATTAGGGCACGTAGCACCTGTAAGCNCCTGTCAGCTGACAGGTCCCTCACACTAACGCACGCAAGGCTCATCCATTCTCTCCCCACTCACGCACACCTGACGCGCTCACCTCAGATGACTGGGGGTTATTAATTCCAGCACCTGAGGCGCCACTTCCTGGACCACTCTAAATTACCATATGATCTATATTAAATTAGGTCATGTGACCATGGAATTAGGGCACGTGGCACCTGTAAGCCCGTGTCTCTCTCTCATTCGTTTCCGGGAATCAGTTAATAGCACTTCTCTTTGTACCGCTCAATTTCTCGCAAATCGGATAATCTTTATTGTGTCAGCTCAATCTCTTCTCAACTTTTCGGTCCACTCATTGCTTACGGTTTAGTTAGTGGCTCAATATTCAGTGACTTATTTATTGTGAACATTTCTATTTTAACAAAAACAGTGTTTGGTGGAACTCAAGTGCACGTGTCCGCCCTTTTTTTTGACCCGCTCATTCACTCCCGGAAATCCATTTCCCACCTGCCCATCCGCTCCTAATTACCACCGATCCAGGCATCTCATCAAACATTTTGGTCCTTCGAGCCGGATCGGTGGAATATTTTTCGGTTTTCGGTTTTTTTGTTGGGTTTTGGCGGAAGTGGAAGTGACGCGGTCAGTGGTGCTCAACCTACGGGGACCAGCTCGTTGGCTCAGCGCACGCAGTGGACCTCAACCAGTCCAGCTCTCCAATCATCAGGGAACTGCATTACCGGCCCGCGGGAATATTTGAATTTTGGAGCAGCTCATCCCCGGAACTTTGGACTTTTTTCTCAACTGCAGCGTTCCTGCACTGGTCCAGCTCAATATCNTCAGATGAAGAGCTACTCAGGACCGCTCATCAGGTGACACAGCTCTGTCTGTCAGGAGGCTTTCCGCTAACCAAATGGCACTCAAATAGCCCAGCTCTACTCACATCTCTTCAACCTGACAGCACCTCTCAAGAACAACGATTCATAGAGGACTCGCTCACCAAGATTCTAGGGGTTTCTTGGCATCCTGGAACGGACAACTTCAAGTTCTCCGTCACTCAGCCTGAGACCAGCTCAATAACGAAGAGAATCATTTTATCGGAAACGGCTCAACTCTTCGATCCACTGGGTTTCCTAGCGCCAGTGGTCATACGAGCGAAGATATTGCTCCAGGCTCTATGGATCGAGAAACTGGGATGGGACGAACCAGTTTCCCAGACAACTGCTCAACGATGGAGCCAATTCAGGGAGGAGCTCACACAGTTATCAGAGATCACCATACCTCGGTGGCTTGGACTGCTCACGGATTCCGTCGTCGAAGTACACGGTTTTTCCGACGCATCACAAGTGGCGATGTCAGCCGTGATCTATCTCAAGGTTCTCAACAAGGGAAAATCACAACTCACATTGGTTTGCTCAAAAACGAAGGTCGCACCGCTCAAACGGCTGACAATCCCACGACTAGAACTCACTGCGGCTCTCCTCCTGGCCAAACTGACTAAGTACGTCAAGGACCAACTCAATCTCACGAACGCCACCACCTATCTCTGGACCGACTCATCGGTCACGCTCACGTGGATCAGCTCACACTCCTCAAGATGGAAGGAGTTCGTGAAAAATCGGGTGGCACTCATCCAGGAGCTCACTCAGCAGGCTCATTGGAGATTGGTACCGGGCAAGGAGAATCCTGCAGACTGTGCATCTCGAGGTCTATCAGCGCACCAACTGGTATCTCATAAGCTCTGGTGGAAAGGGCCACCATGGCTTCATCAAGACTGCTCATCATGGCCAACTCACGCTCTGGAAAAAGACCTCAGCGCAGACCTCGAGGAAAAGCCAGGAGTTCTCCTACATGTAAAAGCTCATCCAATCGCGCTCTGGAATCTCGTCGACAGATTCTCATCGTTCAACCGACTGCTCAGGGTCACAGCAATCTGTCGACGATTCATAGCTCGGCTCAGGAAAACCCCCAACTCTTCTCTTCGATACCCGCTCACTCTTGGTGATCTTGAAGAGGCTCGCATCCTCTGGATCAAACTCACGCAGGCAGCTCACTTCAAGGATCAACTCAGAGCGATCTCACGAGGGGAAAGGTTCAGCAAATCCCACCCCCTCACCAAGCTCACACCCTTCATCGATCGCCAAGGGGTATTGAGGATAGGAGGACGGCTCAAGTTTGCTCACATAGGCCCGGAGAGCCGGAACCAAGTGATTATTCCGAAGGAATCTCAACTGGCTCAGCTACTCATCGGACAGGCTCATCTAAGGACACTCCACGGAGGCACACAGCTCACCCTCAGGCAGCTCAGAAGTAGCTACTGGATACTCGGAGGTCGAGCACCAGTACGCTCCTTCATCCTCAAGTGCGTTAACTGCACTCGCCAACGTGGAGTACGCGCTCAACAGCTCATGGGCCAGTTGCCACCAGCCAGACTCACTCCCGCTCGAGCCTTTCTCAACACTGGGATCGACTATGCCGGCCCAGTGTCTCTACGGTCCTGGAAAGGGCGGGGACACAAGTCGTACAAAGGCTGGTTGGCTATCTTTGTCTGCATGACCACCTCAGCGGTCCATCTCGAGGTCGTGTCAGACTACTCAGCCGAGGGGTTCATCGCGGCGTATAGACGCTTTTCAAGTCGGCGTGGGATCGCTCATTCCTTGTTCAGTGACTGTGGGACCAATTTCCTTGGCGCTGACAAGGAACTAAAGAAGCTCTTCTCGTCAGGATCAGCTCAATCAAGACAGCTCGCACAGCTCCTCATCAATGATGGGACTCAGTGGTCCTTCAATCCTCCAGGTGCTCCGCACTTTGGAGGGAAATGGGAAGCGGCGGTGAAGTCGGTGAAGTTCCATCTCACCCGGACGATCGGAGAGGATCTGCTCACTTTTGAGGAACTCACCACTTTGCTCGCTCAAATCGAGGCAGTGCTCAACTCACGACCACTGGAACCGCTCACGTATGATCCTGATGACTGTTCAGCANGGAACCGCTCACGGATGATCCTGATGACTGCTCAGCCTTGACACCAGGGCATTTTCTCATCGGTCAGGCTCCCACGACTCTTCCAGAGCCATCTTTAGAGTAACTCAACGTCTCAAGGCTCTCTAGATGGCAGCTCATTCAGCAGAAGCTTCAAGGATTCTGGAAGAGGTGGTCCACGGGATATCTCCAACGTCTTCAAGCGATATCCAAGTGGCACCATCCGACTCATCAGATACGGATCGGCTCACTGGTTCTACTCACGGACGAGAGATTCCCGCCAGCGAAGTGGCCTCTCGCCCGAGTGACCGCTCTGCACCCAGGATCGGACTC